GCAAGCCTAGATATAAATATGGCATTAATTCCTAGTGTTGACGTATTTGGTGCCAATTTTGTTGCGTCAAATCACAATGCAAAAAATTTGTCGCCGCGGAGAATCGAACCAAGGACCCATTTGCTCACTCCTTTTTTGGCATTCAGAGAGCCATTTAGCGGAAATGGACTACAGTTCTGTGATCCACGCACATCCCACTACATCATGCAAAAAACCGTTTGAAAGCGCGGGTACACCTGAAAGACCTCCCCGTGAGTGTGGGAAAGAAAATAAAAGCTGTTTACGCGCCGCAGAGTTCCGTCCACTCTGAGGCCTAGTTCCAAAAGTGAGCGTTACCTCAATCCTTAAGCCTCCCAAAACCAGGGTGTCCCAACCAGTTAACTTTGCACCATTATGAGAATAGAAGATACAGTTGAGAAGAGCTCAGAAAATTCGATGCATAGGGATAGAATAGGAGAAATGGGATCATATGTCTTTAAAGGGCGGAAGTGGTGTAGTGGCAAGTGGCACGCTTACCACGCGAGCGGTCCGGGGATCAAATCCTGGGTCGTGAGTCGCCCGGGCCAACCAAGCCTTCCATCCCTCCGGGTCGGTTAATTGGTACCAGACTTGTCTGGGAGGATAAAAACACTGACTTGTACATCGGCTGGCCCCGCAAGTCATTGTATAGGCCACATCGCATTCAAACGCCACTACGAATGTACAAATGGAAGTAGAATGCGTGCCGCATCCCAAAAAGGGATTGATCAACGGCAAATGCTTTATCCTTTTATCCTTTTTATGTCTTTAAACTGATCATGCATCTGATTCTCACAGTACATGTCCTAATGTGCTAATACCGTGATATCCTACTCTCTGATCATTAAGTAAATTTTATCAATATTGCTTGCACATCCAATCTCTGAAACCATGGTGTGATAACACGGTCTTGGATAATTCATTGGCAGAAGAAACCACTTTGCATAGCAAATTCGGACCTTGGTCTTGTTTCTTAATACTTAGCAAGATGCTGATCAATGCTATTGAAATGTTTCCATTTTGTTAAGTTTTAGTTTCAGCTCAAGTACGAGAAGCGTTACCGGAGGACGGTATTCCAGGTTCTTTTCATTTCGTTGACGCTCGTCCACCGGACACTGTCTGTTCCGCCTGGGCTTTAGTTGCAGTCGTTGTTCTTATATTTATGGTTGTTCCGCTCTTGTTTACCTATTATGAAGAACATGAAAACGAAGACCAAACATAATCTTAATACATCGGAATACTATTGGGGCACAGCTCCATTTCGTTATTTATATTTGTGGCCCTAATCATTTTGTTTCATGTGATAACGTACTATTTATTATTTATGAATATTAAACCGCTTTATGGTGAAGAGATCAGGCCATCTTTGTTGTTTATACATGATGAAATCACAGATTGTGTTGAGGTGTGAGTTTTTTTTTCACTGTCTGTTTGTTATTTGTCTTGCATTTCATATCGGTGTCTGTAATCATGCACGTGACAAAACTGCACATGCTCTTTTGTGATTAACGACATTCTTCTTACGGGAATTCACTTTTCGGTAGCTGTTTCTGCTCTTGTATAACCTATCACAGAGATTAATATGTCATAATACACAATAAATTGAATATTTAAAAACACAAGGTAGCCGACAAAGCTGATATATTCATTGCTTCAATGTGTACAGTGATAAGCAAGTTTGACTTCTGCAGTACTCGTTTTATCGAAAGTATAACGTCTATTATAGTTGAAATTTTGGAACATTTGGAATGAAATAGGTAAAAGAATAAGTCATGAATAGACACAAAGAGAATTCAGGAAAATGTTCGTAAGAAATGAGGCAGATTTCAGCAGATGCATATTTTAGGGAAGTTACGCGACCGAATTGACTTGAGTGGATGTAAACAACTTTGAACGCGACGACGTGCGCTCTGGCTGTTCGCATACACCCAATTGGTTTCAGTAGTCAAAAATGAGACCCAAAACCACATTGAACCCACTCGTGAATAACCATTGTACGAGCAAGCATTAAGACAGTTAGAACAATGTTGCTTCAAGAAACAGCGATAAAAACGAACATGATAATATCAACATAAATTGCTATAAAACTAAAACCAAAAGAACATTTAAATACAATATTAGACAAAATACTACTACACAAAATATTGCCTTCACTCGGTGATTGATTCCCGTTCTTTACATGCAATTCTTGCCAACTCGTCCAAACTTCCGCCACTTTTTTGGGCACTATAAAACAATCTTTCATGACTCACCACTCTTCGTTGAAACAGAAATGTTTGTAACCCCTAAAGCGCAAAGAAAAACGACAATGCCAAAGTGTTCCTACCTCCTAGACAAGCTTGGTACCAACTGGTCCCACAAGTGGGAGGGAACACAGCGGAAGGTGTGTAGCTTACGCTGGGAAGGGGCTACCGGCGGTGTCGGGGGACAAACCTGATTTTAAAAAAATTCCACGAACTTTTGGGACCATGCTTCGCGTCGTGTGGGCTTTTTAATTCGCTGATCCTCTGATTTCATGCGAAGTCTGAATGCTGCCTAATTGTCCGTTGGATCTCTTGTATCTAGTGTTTTGGAATTTCGGACAATAGAGATCGATTTCTAAACTTAAGCACTTGAGCTTGTCAGAAATGGGGTAGTTGACTGCTGGAAATATCGAAACTACGGTACTACTTTTCGACATAATCTGTCCACTCAATGACTCATGATCAAGCAGCATTTACTGTCCGCAATGCTGTAGTGAGTCTGACCTCAAGAAGTTCGAGTCAAGTATCGATGCTCTCAAGTTTGTGAGAACTTCAACCAGAGTCAACCCTGCGTTGCGCAGTTCGCAACGGCACGTTGAGAGATCCTCAACGCACGCTGTATGGGCGGAGACACAGACGGCTCGAGCATGCGAGTGTGAATGTTCGCGCGAGAGAACGTGTCTAATCGGGCGAAACTGCGCAACGTGGCCGTTGAGAACTGCGCAACGCAGGGTTGACTCTGATCACTACTATGCTGGGAACGCAGAGGCCGCATTTCCACAACAAAAAAAAAACAAGAGAAAAAAAACTTACTAACCTGTTGTTCCCGTTATTTTTTGAAGAATGATTAGAGTTCAGTTCGTTACTCGTACTACTACTGCAACTACTCTCGGACGGTGTATAGCGCACCATTCTCTCTGCTACCTCTCGTGAAACACCACGTGCCTTAAAAGTAAGAACAACTGAAGAATGTCATGATAGGAATTAAACAGTGTGAGCACTGAAGATAATACCTGTACGAGAGCCTGGATTATTACTTCAGGCATTAGTACCTCAAGTACAAGATGAACACCGGGTAAGAAATAAGAATCATGTTCACGATCGCGAACCCAAGAGAAGATTAGATCGAATAGACTGTCAGTTTCATGGTCTAAATTTTTATTTTCGATATAGGCAGCTAAAAAATGCTTTTGCTTCGAGTAGTATGGTCGAGCTTCTCAGAACCGGAAGTGAAATCGAGATGACCTTACCTGTCAAAAGACCTCCAGTATGTGTTTCAAAGCGTAACACCGAACGAGGTGGCGTCACATAATTTTGCACTAAATCTGTCGTCCAGGCACGCTCCAGAATTGAAACTGCCTCACGAAATATCTTTAAAATTACATGCTGTTGCGATGACGATAGCTATCGAAAAATGCCATACCAAAACAACTTCTAAACAAAAACTAACGGTGGGAGCAAGGAGATCGGGTGATGGAGATGTATCCGAGTGCGTTGTCGAGTCTGCAGCAAATGCTGAAGTCCTCGGAGGAGACGGTGGTAATAGCGTTTGGTTGCGTTCGCTAGGATAGATTGAAAGTTATCATCACAACCTTTCAATTAGCGGGACGAGATGAGGCATTTTGTTCTGATAGGCAAGAAATACGACTTATTAGTTTTTAATTATCGGATTGAAATTTGATTTGACTTCAAGTAAATTACAGAAAAGAGCATTTAATTTCGTATGAAGATTTATGTTTTAACATTTATCGTATAATGTATTCTCAAATCTTAAATGTATATACTATTAGGTACCGGATATCTTAGTGTCGCTTTTCTGAGTTCAGGAAGTTTTGGGGCCGATTACTATGGAAAATCAATATCCCAGAAGGCAGTTTTTGCTCATTAATATTGCGAAATATGTTGCTTACCGTCTTCTATTGTTGGTTCACAATTTAACTTTCCCCCAATTTTTATACTTTCTTCTGAAAATTCCTGGGTCCAGTGTGCAAATTCGCATGTGTGTACCAAATGCATCAAAATTCTTGCTGAGAGCTGTAACCTCCGCCCACCAAACCAGCATTGCATTTGATGGAGGGAATACTACCATTTAAAATGCTCATCGGTTTTTCACAGTTTTCTTAAAAGACAGTAAAGTCTTTGAAGGGATGCCCGCAACCGTCGCCAAAAAGGTGGTCCTAGCTAAATCAGTCAAAACGGGGCTGCACCAGTCTTGTGCTGGAATGGTAGGACACCCTAGCAGTTACTGATCGATGGTGCACAGACGCTCTAACGAAGTTGATTGACCAAGAAATTCTAATAAATGTGCTCATCTGCTACTCACGTGTGCTCAAAAAGGGTGCGTTTTTGACCCTATGTGGCAAAAAAGACTCCGGGAAAAATTGTCCAGTTGAGCTGGTAAGTAATAAATTTTCCACCAAACAGTGCAGACCCTACTCTAACTAAATGTATACATATTTTGTCCAGGCCCAACTGTTTAGCAAGGTAGAGGGATGATTTGTCAGATGATGTCAAATTCGACCTACCTCTCTTTTTCGTCTCAAAAAATTCCTAACTTTAATCGTACGAGGTTTTCACTCATACTGGTAAATGGGAAAGGGCTAATGAGTCATTCGATGGATATGCCGTTTCACTCACTGGATTTTGAATTAAAATATTGGTGGTCCGAAACTCGCGGTGAAAAAACGACACTAAGATATCCGGTACCTAATATTAAAGGGTCAACAAATACGTCGTCTTATTTGGTATAGCGCAAGCCCTTAGACGAATGATTAAGCAAACGTTTAACTTCGTATAATATCTTGTATACGAAGTTATATATCTTTATAGACCAGATTAGTCCCCCGTCAACCGCCGGGACCTTCCTTTCCTGCGCAAGCTTTCTATCCTCCGCTATGGTCCCTTCCTCCTGTGACACCAACACCTCTGGAAGTGACGCGTATGCAACACAATGGTGTTTCATACAGTAGAAGGGACACAATCATGATATGACGGTAGATTTTTCGCTTCCCTTCCTCATCCTCCCTTCCTCTCTCCACTGCCCTCCAGCTGCCACTGCAGCACCATGTGGAATGAACGGAAGTGTGCTAAGCAGGTGTTTATATAGCCCTGAGTGTTATCACAACTATCCTGCTACAAAACATTGATATCTCAAATCCTGTAAGCTACCCGATTTTGTTAGCGGTTTGTTTATCCCATGAGCTTCCTTCTCACTCACTTCATTTTGCGGACGGACACACATACATACACACACACACACACACACACACATACAACCGACATACAAATGTTAACTCCTTTAACTCGATAATCTAAGTCCATGTCTGATACGACGTACTAACACGTAAACAGTAAAATAGATAATTCCTTTCTAGCGTCTCTATAAAAGCGAATTTGTGGGTATGATTAACACTTACCTTTGCTTGGCTCATCTTCTAAACTAGCCGTAGTTCCCTCGTCACACTGGTTTTTGGCCTGCCCATTCCCAACAGCCTCCTTAGGTTCAACATCTTGATCACTCACCTGAATTCAAAGTAGAAGAAATTCGTACTGAAATCTTTCTTAAACACGGCCAACAACATGAATTTGATTCAAGTTATTGGCATTCATACGCTTCAAAGGACTAATTTATATCTCTACCGTTTCAGCGTCGCTTGCGGAAGTTTTGACAGTGTTCCGAACAACTGTAGACTCTGCACCCTTAGGAGTGACTTTGCTGTTCATTTGTGGCGCTGCGGAACCCTTGAATAGAAAGCTACTCTGACATCAACTAACCAACTGACAAGAATGTGGGACCTAAGAATGATCATAAAACCAAGAGATACTCACTCTTGGCAATCCTCTCTTGTTAAGATACTGGATGGCGGCCTCAAATGCCTCTATGAGATCAGTTGTGCAATGTGAGGGTAAAACGTCGTCAACGGATAGCGCACGAACAGACTGGAAGTGATGCTGATACATTATGACATACCATACTATC